CATCTCGTGTGGCGTTCCCCATGGTTCTGTTCTTAGTCCCCTCCTCTTCAACATCTATATACTCCTCCTTGGTGACATCATCTGCAGACATGAGGTCAACTTCCACATGTATGCGGACGACACCCAACTCTACCTCTTTGCCGCCACCCTTGACTCCAAGACCACTGCTGACCTGACAGAATGTCTGTCAGACATCAAATCCTGGATAAGAGCTAATTTTCTTCAGTTGAACGTCAACAAGACTGAGGCTCTCCTGATTGGCTCTAGTCAGTGCCTCCTCACTTTAGGTGCTGACAGCATCACCATCCACACTCCACCTTATTAAGCGAGTCCAGAATCTTAGAGTCTTGTTTGACTCTCAACTATCCTTTCTACCCCACATCTGCGCCATGACCCGCTCTGCCTTCCCCCACCTCCGCAACGTCGCCCGGCTCTGACACTGTCTCACACCGCAGGCCGCCAAAACCCTCATACACGCCTTCATAACTTTGAGGCTCGACTATGCAAACTCATTACTTGTCGGCCTCCCCAACTCCTCGCTCTACAGGCTGCAGACCATCCAGAACTCTGCAGCCCAGGTCCTCTCCCGCACTAGGCTCCGTGACCCTATCACCCCCATCCTTGCCCAACTCCACTGGCTTCCCATTACACAGAGGATACAGTTCAAGATCCTGGTCTTCACCTTCAAAGCCCTCCACAGTCTTGCTCTCCCCTAACTCTCGGACGTCCTAACCTCCTACGATCCTGTTCGCTCCCTCCTCTCAGTGGGCTCCAGCCTGCCTCACATCCCCCACCTTGCTTGCCCCACTTTCAGCGGTCGGGCCTTCCACCACTCTGCACCCACCCTCTGGAACTCCATCCTGGAGACCCTCCATCTCGCCCCTTCCCTCACCACCTTCAAGATCCACCTAAGACCCTCCTCTTCGACCGTGCTTTCGATCTCCCTGCTTCCCCTCCCTGCCCTCCACTCTCCCCCACCCCGACCCTCAGCTCGGGTCCGTAACTCTGTCTGTGCAGGGATGTCCCGACGTGAAAGGCGCTAAATAAATGTAATTTTGTTGTTGTTGATTCGTCCCAAAGTATTGATCTGGGTCTACTTTATCGAAAAGTATCACCTTAAAAATGTAGTTTAAATCAAATGTCGGTTGGTAATAAATACTCAATTCTTAGTATTTATAATAACACAAATGCATTTATCAGACTTTTCTGTAAAATATGATTGCAAATCAAAATCACATCAAATGCATCTTTCTTCCACATGCCGGCTAGCTTGAGAAGTCAACCATATCATTTAAATCAGTGGTGGCCAACCATAAATAAATTTTCTTAATTGAATATTTCTTGATTTATGTTATAAATGAATCAAAAATTATTTATTTATTTTTAAAATGCACTCCCCTATTGAACACGGACTTACCTAGAGTCATGTGAATGTTCGTGAGGCTGCTTCATGACAGGCCCCTTGTGTGGGCCATAGGCTACAGGTTGGCCACCACTGATTTAAATAAACAGAAGTTAAAACTGGAGAGCAGGAAGTTCATTTGTGTCGCCCACAAAATACAGTCAATCCACTTTACAGTATATTCTGTGAAACACTTTCAGACGTCTCAACGATGTGATAAGGCGCTATATCAAATGTAAGGATGATTATTATTAGTAAGTTGTACAGCACAGTAATTTAATTAAAAAGGTTCAGTAACATTATAAGCTCTCAGGGAGAAAGCATGAGCAGTTCACGTACATCAGTTTGAACCACAGCATCCAATCGTTGTAATTTATACACAACCTGTGTTATCCAGTAAGAAGAAGGCAAATGAAATGTATTACTTTATTAGCTCGGCTCCAATTGCATGCTACAATAGCTCTTCAGTATATATCACAAACTCACTGGCAACAGGAAAAGATAACATTACTAAACATCTTGACAAACTCCCATTATGGATATACTGTAATGTATTAAAAAGAACAACCAAGGCTGGGAACATGTTTTAATGATATAATACATCAGATTGTTCATGGTTGGTAAGTCTGCTTAAATTAAGATCTTGTGCATCTTCACAGCCTCACAATATCATATACTCCATCCGATGTATATTCAAATTGACTCAAACCATTTTTAAAAAAGGACAAATTTATATATTGAACTTTTAAAAAATATATTAAGTTGAGGTTACCATTTTTCAACTTTGTATGTCGGGTAAAAAGGCATGAATTGAGAAGCACCAAATTCCTCTCAGTTGAATGTACATCAATCTGAACAAGATGATCTTTGTGTATTTTTGTTAAATGGATCAATTTATTAATATGATCATGTTCTTGCTCTTTTGGCTACTGCCCACCTCTCCAGAACACAACCAAGTTTACCCAGTTATACTATACATGTGTATCAATGGTAGGAACATACATAATTAATCACAAAATATTTTCTTTGATGTATGGTTTCAACAAAGGTGATGACAAAAAAGACACTCGCTTGTTTACAGGAGAATATTTAAAATGAAAGCATAAATATATATATAAAGGATTTCAAAAAGAGTTCCTGGAAATTAAAAGAATTCAGAGTGAGTGGATGAGTAGCAGATGTGCCAAATTAATCTTTTGGGATGTTGGAATTGGTAGATGCTGCTATATTCTTAGTACTTTGTTACATAAATGAATATGATCAATATCGCCTGGCTTAGTTGGTAGCAATCTTGGCTCTGGGTCAGAAGATGTTGGAGTCAAGCCCCATCTTGGGACATTAATGGGGTGCATTGCAAGAGGTGCGGTCCTTCAGATGAGATATTTAACCAAAGTCCGGTCTACCTGTTAAAAATCTCTTCAAGCTATTCAGAAAGAGAAGCCAGTTTCTCCCAGTATCCTGGCCAATAATCCTGCAGGCAAAATTAGTCATTCACTTCATGGCTCTTTATGGCACATTGCTCCATACAAATTAGCTGCAATGTTCATCTATAAAGGGCACAGTCACTACATTTTGCCCTGAAGAGAAGAGCTTTGAGATGTTGTCCCAATGCAGAAGGTGCTACATCAAATGCAAGGATTATTATTAGTAGTAGTGTCAACTGATAAACAGCCTTACTGGAACGGTAGAACCTTTTATTTGTCACATATACAGCAAAGTGGTGTCACTCAATAAAAACAGGAGACACAAAATAAAATGTGTAAACTATGTCACAGTATCACAAGGTATAGAAGTCATCTCAGCTTACTGATGCAACACAACACTCAAATAGTCTCTAGCCATTGGCAAAAAAAAATAGATTTCCTTTCAGAGTGGAACTGAGTTTATAGTAATACAGTTCCAAAATCATACCTCATTACATGGATTGTATTTAAAAGTGATTAAACTTCAACATATGGGGAAATAGCAAAGCAGATGCAGTGTATTGTCATAGGTACGTTTAACCACAATTTTAGATGCAAAATCTTGGGATTTTTACACAGTAACACTAAACATTAGTAGTCACACACCAGCCAGTCAGGAATTCATGCAGTGTTTAAAATCTCTCAAGCAATTTTAGCCCCACTTGAAACTAAGCGTTAATTAAGTGAGCAGCAATGTTATTACTCTCTTCATTTGGGAACACGTATTCCTTTTTCAATTAGCAGTTGTAACTAGTATTTAGGAAAGTTAGCCAAGTCACTAAAATTCAAAATAACACTTTCAATTATTTTATTCTGAAACTCCTTGTTTTAGACCAAAGTAGAATCAGGCAATTTCATTTAGTAAATTAACCTACGATTCAGTGGGCGGTTAGAAAGTGCTCCACTTCTGCTTTATTCAAAATCTGTTGCAGTGAATAGAGCTGTTTAAACCGCTTTTTAAAAAAGGTCTTTCCCCCACCCTCTAGCCAGGAAGATGGCTTCCTCCCACACAGCTGCCATTATTACTGCACAGCAGAGGAGGGCACGTGCCAGCCTGTTAGGTCTTTTCTGTGGGGAAAGAATACCCTGCATAGCCAAGAATTCACAACCTTTGGCACAAATGTAAGGATTTGATTATAGCGCCTTATCACATCGTTGAGACGGCTTCTACTTCATTAACCATTCATAAGATTAAATTTAGGAGTCCAATCTATATCTACCAGCAAAAAAAAACCTTTGACATTGCAATTGAAGCTTCTTTCCCCTCTGGTCTCAGCTTGGCTCATTTGGTACCATTCTTGTCTTGGTCGGATGACTGTAAGTACTTGCCTCACATCAGGACTTGAGCTCACTTTGCTGACATTGCAATACATTTGTGAGCTGCACCAGCAGAGTGCCTGTCTATCAGATGAAACTTTAAAACAGGTTCCATCAGCTTGTTTTGCAGGTGGATGCTAAAAATACCATGAGTATTCAAATGAAGGGAATTGCTCCTGAAGTCCTGGCCAACAATCCTCCAGATAAATTAGTAATTTACCTCATTGGTGAATGAGGCACTGCGGTTACTTCCTGTGTAAAGTGATGTCAGCAGTGTTTCCTGCATATAGGATTTGTGTCACTGCCTGTGTGTCCTTGCACAACACACAGGCAGCCACACCAATCATCCAAATAAAATTGGCCATTCACTTCATGGCAATTTTGTGGGATGTTCCAGTGTGCAAATTAGCAGTTGCATTGGCACCCCCCAAAAACGTATCTACACTTTACAGGCTATCCTGACATGAAAGGCACTGTACCAAATATGAGGTAATTATTCTCATCATCATCAGTAGCGACTGGATGGTCCAGAAGTTGGTAATTTTTGAGTGCCAGAGGCTGGGTGTAGTGATGTAGCACTCTATCGAAGTATGCAATAATGGTGTCCCCCTGTACATCTCTCTTCCCCGAGGATTGAGATATCTGTATTCAATGCAACTTGTTTGATACCAAAGCAAAGAGTCTCAATTTAGAATCCAATTCTGTCCAATGCATTCAAAATGGCAGAGATGGTAGTCACTGAGGTGCTTCTTCTGCTTGGATGAGGTGTAGAGATGAATGGAGTTTTTTTTTAAAAAAAGTTCACTGTACTGGAGAGACAACTTTAAAAGATTTTAGATTTTAATACCAGCAATGTACAAAATAAGATTGGTGATTTACACTTTAACCTGCCCAAGAAGTACAAGGATTACGTGCATTGGAACAGATAGAAGTTATGAGATGATTACCCACATAAGTAACCTTCACCTTTCAATCTGCATCTTAAATATTCTCCTCCTGACCCTTTAAATACAGGCAACCTAAACAATATGTTATTGTGTATACCACACAATCCTTCCAGTTGGTTTCAGAATCAAACGAGAATTGATCAAGCTAGCAATTGGATTAAAAAAAGACAATCTGCTACTTATTTGCAGGTTAACATTTCACATCAGAATTGAAGAGCAGACTGGTGTGCTTAAGATTTACAACCAGTTCAGCATATTGCATGCAAGTTGAATAACGCAGGGCTATATTAAATGGCGGCTATAATTTATGTTGCACAGTAACCAGCAACAGAAAGTGCATTTACATGAGCAAATGGATCTGAAAGCCACCTGGGCCCTCAAGATCTTTCTGGTCAGTCATGGCAATGCCTCATTTGCCCTTTTCATCACAGATTACTCATGGTCTTTTCTCTGTTCTCCTCTGTTCTGATCTCCCCTCCCAGCCCCCTTCCCCCCCACAAGTGCAAATATAGGAAGGCTCAAATTCAATAGCCACAACTCTCCCCTCTTGTGAAAAAAAGCAGCTTGAATAACCTGTAGCATTTAAAGCCACAAGTCAAACATTAAAATGCCACAGCCTCACCTTTGCTATTCGTTATTCTTCCACCAGCCAAACTGCAAAAATATTGGCTCAGAAAAGAAATGCTGATGTCACTGTTGGTGTTGCACAAGCTAAAGTGAGATGCTTCAGGAAATATTCTCTGTGCAATATTAGCCAAACGTCTGGTTCTTACTACCTTGCTTAGACCACAAAGGCTCAGGGAGTTAGTTCAGTTTATTATTTCAGGAGCACAGACACTGGCAGAACCGGCACTTTGTGGCAGTGCAACTTCTTAAAACTTTGTTATTTTCTCTTAGCTCAAACAACCTTCTCAGTCTTTGCAGGGCTTTGAATTTTTTAAATCTTTCTCCTTCAATAATTTCAAGTGCAGCATTTAGTAGCTGTCACCACTTGAAAAGAATAAAATAGCAACAGGGTTAAAATTTGAACCTTGAAATACATTCACAATTCATAGTTTAATCAAAGGCAAGAAACCAAGGAATTTTATAGCTAAAAATGGGGGGGGGGGGGGGGAAACTCTCTCTAAAAGAAAATTCAGTCATGAATTCCTACTTCTAAGATCCCCAAAATATTTTCTTGTACTTTTTTTTTAAATATGTAGAAACCCCCCCCACCTTCACTAAATATTTAAAACATTGCTTTGGGTAAATGGTCTCATATCAAATATATCTGTTAACTGTTTACTTTCACTTCTATCTCCTTTTGCCAATATACAGTCTAGTCTTACAGTAAGGCAACAATTTCCAAAAATAAAACTTGATTGTACTGTGCAAAAAACGCACTCTTAAGAGTCTGCAGCTACTGATAAATAAATGTATACACTTGATGTTCAAGAAGCACTGTAGCTATATAGTGGCACTTACTTAAGTTTCCATGAAATGCATTCTAACCAAATCTATGCTAAATCTACAATAAATGAGAGTAGATTTGTTGGCTGATTTCAGGTAAGCTTGCAGAAAAAAGTACATGAAGCAATTCTTTGGAGCACCGGGTTCACCGCCCTAGTGATTAGCAAAGGCACTTTCGTCCAGGTTTCACCGCTTCTTCAGAAGAATGAACGACGTTTGGAACAAAACCACTCTTCACCCCCTCCCATCCTTCCTGGATCCCTATGTCGCCCTTTTTCAGCAGCCCGTATATCTCTCGGGTAAGAATGGTGAAGGACTCCTCCACATTGGTAGCATCCTTCGCCGACGTCTCTATGTATTTCATTCCAGACACTGCTGCAAGTTTCTCCGCTTCCTCCCTGGAGACTTTTCGCTGGGATGCCAGGTCAGATTTGTGTCCAACAAGCAAAAAAATGATCTGGAATGGCTGGACATGCATTTTTGCTTCTTCCAACCAGTGGCGCACGTGTTCAAACGACCTGCGATTTGTGATATCGAACACAAGAAGCCCACCAACAGAATTGCGGTAGTAGGAACGGGTTATGGACCTAAAATGCAAAACAAAAAATCATATTAGAATATATAATTTTCCTTTTGGCATCCATACCATGATCAGAAATCAAAACATTTTAGTTAGTACTTCTAAACAATGTGAGGTACACGCCAAACCTCTGGAAATCCCTGCCTCACTCTCTATTTACCCAATCTGAACTGAAGACTTTCCTCTTCAACTGTGCCTACGGTCACCTATCCTTTCTGCCTGACTCAGCATCAAACTGTTCAGCACTCATTCCGAGACGCTACCCTTCGTGAATGATATTTTATAAATGGAAGTTGTTGATATAAAGTTTGGAACGTACAGCCCCCTGATTAAAGATACAATTTCTAAGTTGCACATTGGGATCTAATGTGCACCACGTGCAAACCATATCGAAATTTATATTGACCATCATGTGCTAACGATCTGTAATTGCAATATGTACTGCGGGAATTACAAGCATCCTCAGTTATGCAGTTGAACAATGAAGAGGATCGGATGTTAAAATATATAACCAAAGAGATTTGTAATTCCCTCTATATATCATAGAATCATAGAAAGTTACGGCACAGAAGGAGGCCATTCGGCCCATCGAGTCTGTGCCGGCTCTTTGACAAAGCAACTGACTTTTATTAACCCCACTCACCAGCTTTCTCCCCATAACCCTGCAAACCCGTCTTCCCCAGATACTTATCCAGTTCTCTCTTAAAAGCTGTTATCTTCACTACCCTTTCAGGCAGATCATTCCAAATTCTAACAACTCGTTGAGTGGCTTCTATCTCGTCAACACTTCAACTGCAATGTATGTAGAGGATTCTGTTGAGGTGGTGTGAGAAGATTAGAAAACAAAGAAAAATGTAGTCAGCAGGTATTCAACTTCTATGTAATTCTATGCTCTAATGGCAGTGATTGATCATTCGTCAGATATGCCAAGTGACTGAATGTAAGATCATGTATATCGGAGCAAGAAGTAGGAAACATGTACAAACAACAAAGCAGATTTAGTGAAGGAAATTAAATTGGGTGGGATTATTGATAATTCATTCAGGATTTCTCGTCAATTTAGCAAAGCAGCAATCAACAAAGCTAATTAAATGTGAGGTTACAGCTCAAGGGCATTGGTCTACAGAGGGTTTCCTAACCTTGTTCATATTCCGATTTGGTTTGGGGAGCTTGGAGAATTCGAACGACTTTCAAGAAGGGTAATAATTGGACTGAAAACTAGTTACAACGGATGGCTCAGAGTCGAACCTGTCCTTTTGAAATAAAAAAGATTGGGGGTGGGAAGGGTTTGGGGGGGTAAAGGACCCTCAACTGTCTTTTCTCCCCCACATTCAAGCCATGACCCGCTCTGTCTTCCCTCACTTCCATAGCATCGCCCGACTCCGCCACTACCTCACCCCTCAGGCTACTGAAACTCTTGTTCATGCCTTCATCACCTCCAGGCTCGACTATGCAAACACCCTACCTCTGCGACCTCCTAACCCCCTACCAATCCGCCCGTTCCCTCCGCTCAGCCGGCTCTGGCCTACTCCACGTCCCCCGACTCACCCACCCCACCATCGGCACGAGAGCCTTCAGCCACTTTGCCCCAACCTCTGGAATTCCATCCCCAGTCACTCCGCCTCATCCCCTCCTTCAGGTCCTGCCTCAAGACCCTCCTCTTCGACCATGCCATCGGCCACCCCCTCTCCTCCTTTACCCCCCCAAACCCAGCTTAGGTCTGAAATGCTGTATTCTGTCCAGCACTTTGGGACATCCTCCCGACGTGAAAGGCGCTGTACAAATGTAATCTTGTTGTTGTTGTTTACATACTTCACAAAGTTTGGCCCAGTGAAGCAAATGTGTAGAATGGTTGCTATGAACTGAATCAACACAATAAAGTAGAATTTCTCCACCCACCGTAAGTGCTTTCAGTGACGTTACACACCAACAGGCACAGTACTTTTACGTTTTAATGGTTTCTCCATGCACCTAGAATTAATGGTCTATTACTATTCACAGAATCCACTCTACCCACTACATCTAACAGTTAAATTCTGTATAGATACCAATAAAAACTCTTAATTAAATAATCCTTACATTTAACACTGGGAGAATATCTCATTATATACTGTAAACTGTAGTGATTATGTATTTTGTAGGCAAACATGAATATTTATCTATTCAAACCTGACTGTTTTCTACCCATTCAAAGACATTTACGCTTTCCATCATCCATAATATTTTCACAGAAGCCATCATGTTAATTCCAGTCTATATTGATACTTCTACAATAAAACTCTCTATCCAAATATTTGCCCTTTTTTTAAAAAAAATTACATCAAAACAACATTGACTCCCATGCATCCAATACTAATCATCCTTACATTTGATATAGCACCTTTAATGTCAGGCGGACGTCCCAAAACACATCATACAATATACTGTAATGTAGTGTGACTATGTTTGTAGGCCAATGTGGCAACCAATTTAGCAGAGCAATGTCCCACAAACAGTCATTACGTGAGTGACTAATTTTATTTTCGGGATTGTTAGTTGGGACGCAACGAGAAATTCTCTTTCGAATAGTGTTTATGGTATCTTTAACATAAACCTAAACAGGCAGATAGGGCCCTAGTTTAACATCTCATCCAAACGACGGTACTTCTGACACTGCAGTTCTCTCCCAGCATTGCATTGGAGTGGCAGCTTAGATGAGTTATACGAGTTCAAATTCCCGATGTGACACTTGAATCCACAACGTTCTGACTTAGGTGAGAGCACTACCAACTGAGCCACCTCAGCATATTAAAGATTTAGTTCACACAATCCAGATCATATGATTAGGCAGGAATGCAAGATCAATGATGAATTAATGGATACAAAACCTCCCTTTTCAGTCAATGGAGAAGTTGGACAAAGACATCAGAATATTCACTTATATTAAATTTAAAAAATCTATTGAATTGGTAAAACAACAACTTACATTTGAATAGCGCTTTTCACGCCAAGAGCTTAAGTAATACTAAACTTCTAAGTAGTCCTACCACATTGGCCTTTTAGATCTACTGCATAGTTGCAAATGTATCTTCCTTCTTGGAGGTTAATGTTGCTTCACCTCACAGAAAGTACATGCTATGTTCCTCCATTTGCCATCTAGATACTCATAACTGGTGCCGGCAGTTTGCGCTTAAGTCACTCACCCACTTTGTCATTCTCTATTATTTGAGCCATTCGGATAAAAGATTGTCTCCATATTCAAGGTGATTTTCCACATAAGTGGCATTGTGCAGCCAGTCATATGCAAGGTTGGACAGTAAGGCACCAAAATTCCATTGAACCCTATACAGCAGGTTACATCTTAACATGTGTTTACTCATTTGCTTTTACTTGATCCAAGACTGAGGCTCTTTTCACCAGCGCCAGAGATCCTTGAAGCCTCGTGGGTTCTCGCCATATACAGTACTATCTATTCGCAGACTTCCTCTGTTTCTTCTTCTGGAAGTGTCACCTATTTATATATCATAAGAAGACTGTCCCAATCTCAAAATGAAGGATAGGGTTGTAAATGTGCATCATGTTATAGACACACGAGGTGATGGAATCCACAAAGTACTGCTCAAGCTTTGCAGAAGAAATGAATTAATCGCCCATTTTATTGTCTATCTCTTTGCAGATCAGTTTAAGGCCCGAATCAGAGACTATGTAACAGTCAAACAGTAATACCCAGCAAACAAACTAATATCCAACCACAGTATTTGGCAAATGGTAGAACACGGAATGTGTAGGGAAACAACTTTGACTTACAAGGAGAAAATTTTGTCTGCAATTACACTGTATTTGATGCAGTGAATATGAAAGGCTGACTATTGTATTCTAGAGATAGTTTCACCTGATCAAGGTACCCTGACCAAGTCAAAATGAGTCAACATTAAGAAGATACTGATACTTGAGATACTATCGCTTCTCAGCCGTTTTAGCTAAAATATATAAGATAAGTACAGTAATAATCTTATCAGTTACTCTTTGAGCTAGCAGTTGCCAGAAACGTTCTCCTGTTGAGATCTGCTTGTGTTGATTACCATGACCGAATCTCACCCATAAATGAGAGGATTGTGGGAAGGATTGAGCTCCTGGCAACAGCTATGCTTTCATCCCTCTGTTGGTTGGGATCGGTGTTGCAATACTTCTGATCTGAGGAGTTTGATCTGCTCTCATTAAGAGGAAGCAGAGATACTGAGATTGCAGAGCTAGCTTGAGACCTTGGGTCACTAGTCTCAGGCAGAGAGGTGACCTGGTCACCTGCCTTGCTCAACAACAACAAGATTACATTTGTATCGCGCCTTTCACGTCGGGAGGATGTCCTGAGGCGTTGGACAAAGTACAGCATTTCAGACCTGAGCTGGGGTCGGGGGGGGAGGAAGGGGAAGGGATGGGGCGGGTGACCGATGGCATGGTCGAAGAGGAGAGTCTTGAGGCGGGACTTGAAGGATGCTAAGGAGGGGGCGAGGCGGAGTGACTGGGGATGGAATTCCAGAGGTTGGGGCAGAGTGGATGAAGGCTCTCCTGCCAATGGTGGGGCTGGTGGGTCGGGGGACGTGGAGCAGGCCAGAGCCGGCTGAGCGGAGGGAACGGGTGGATTGATAGGTGGTTAGGAGGTTGCAGCAGTAGGGTGTGGCGAGGCCATGGAGGGCTTCGTATGTAAGGACCAGTATCTTGAACTGGATCCTCTGAAGGATAGGGAGCCAATGGAGTCAGGCGAGAGTGGGAGAGATGGGGTCACGGAGTTTGGTGCGGGAGAGGACACGGGCTGCAGAGTTCTGGATTATCTGCAGCCTGTGGAGGGAGGAGTTGGGAAGGCCGACAAGCAGGGCGTTTGCATAGTTGAGCCTGGAGGTGATGAAGGTATGAACAAGAGTTTCAGCGGCCTGAGGGGTGAGGTAGTGGCAGAGTCAGGTGATGTTACGGAGGTGAGGGAAGGCAGAGCGGGTCATGGCTTGAATGTGGGGGAGAAAAGACAGTTGAGGGTTGAACAAGACACCTGGGTTCCTGACTTGGTGAGTTGTAGTGTGCAACCATGGAGGTTGATGCTGCCAGAGCCTGAGGTGCTGAGGCGCTGGCGCGAGCCAATCTGGAGGGCCTCCATCTTGTTCACATTCAACTGTAGGAGATTTGCCCTCATCCAGGACTTGAGATCCAACAGGCAGTCTGTCAGGACAGCAGTGGTCCTGGAGTTGAGGGTGGAGGCAGAAAGATAGAGTTGGGTGTCATCCGCATACATGTGGAAGTTGACCCCATGTCTGCGGATGATGTCACCAAGGGGGAGCATGTAGATATTAAAGAGATGGTCTTTACTATGCTATTTGATATGCTCAGATGGTCATGAAGACATGGTTCAGGTCTGCATTGTTCTTTGACAATTTGGGGCCTAGAAGAATCCCCATTCCCTAAGTGAAATGTATTCGGTCTAATTCGACTAAGTGAGATGAGCAGGCGTAACCTCAATCAATTAAAAAAACTGATTCCTGAGACACTAGTATCTTCAATAACATGCCAGGGGAAACAACCCTGATTGTACATTAAACTATGACAGCAGTCTAGTAGTGTGTAGCTTGAAAGTTCAGCATCCAGTGGCTCAATACGAAACAGGACAACGATTAGCTTGCGTACTATTGTTCATTATAACCTCTGCCCTCTCTGAGAATTATTAAGACTAGGTTTAAGTGATGCCTATCTAGTGTCACAGGCTGATACAAAAAGGAACACGTAGGGAATGAAGATATTTCAGTAATAAATTCAACAAAACTGAACATCAAAGCAGATTTCTTTTAAGTCAATTTGAAAGTGAACATCAAAGCAAACACGCTGCGAGGAAATATAAATGTTACTATATTTAAACCAAGCGTCTCTCCTCCCCCCACCCACAGACTGACATCACATCCAGCACAATTGGTCATAAACTGAAACACTAGACTTCTTCTGTTTGTAAAACAATGCAATGTAAAATTGGCTTATTCACTTAGGATAGCCTGTTCAAATGAAACGCTATAGATTATTTGCTGTTTTATTCTATCAGCAATGTTATTTTTCCAATGCTAACTCAAATCGAATTATAATAAACAGCACAATTGGTCTTCTGTTAAATTGGATTATAGGAAAGTTGCCGGAAAGTTGCAGTTCATTGTAGCAGTGTCTTAAAACCCCTCGTAATACTCACTTGAAAAGAGGATTATAAACTTGATTTGCTGTTCACTAGAGGTTCTAGATATTGCCGCTATTATCCGTTAACTGCAACAGTCACTACATGTAAAGCACGACAGGTTGAACAGCCTACTTCTGGCTTTATGTTCCGAATAAACTTTTTTTTAAAAAAAAGCAATAGTTCAATCCCATATTGGATTAATTTGCATAGCTCTTTCTATGCCACTGGAGCTGGCTAGACAGGAAGGAGTTACACAAGAATTGTCTATTCATACGATCCTAGAACCATAGAAAGTTACTCTATAATGTCTGTGGTGGCTCTTTGAAAAAGCAATCGATTCAGTCTCATTTACCTATCTTTTCCCCATATCCCTGCAAGTTACTCCTCTTCAGATGACTACATACTTGAAAGCTAGTATGGATTCTGCCTTGACCACCACACCCAGCAAGGCATTTCCTCATCTGAAGAATTCTCTGAAAAAAACTTCCTAATCTCCGTCTTTGCTCAATATGGTGAATTGATTCAATTGATTCAATGTAACATTACAATATTTTTCATAAACCAGTTAAACACCTCCATCAGGTGTCCCCTCAACCTCCCTGTTGCAGTGAAATTAGCTCCAATTCCTCCAGCCTCTGCTCACATGCCAAACCACTCGTCCCTGGTGTGTATCATCCTCATAAGAATATCATCCCGTTTCTCCATGAATCAATCTCCAAGTCACTGCATCTCAACAAAATCGAATGAATCTTTATTAGGCAATTTGCATCTAGTGGGTCATATTGTCACTGAGCATTGTATATTATACACTACTTATAAAATGGCTTGGATCCCGAAAGACAAGTAGCCAAGTCACAAAAACAATGTGCCAAATGGCCTTCTATGCTGAAAAATTCTGCATTCTAAGAGTGTAGATTTGGTAGAAATTTGGTGCAATAGAAGTTAATTTACAATACAATTTACATTTATATAGCATGTTGGGAGGACATGAAATGCATTCACACTGCTAGATGGCCACTTTCAAACTTGGAAAAGAGCAGACTGTATCAAACATGCCTTAAAGGAGACAAGCCAATATTTTACTAAATTGCAATTTACATTAAAACTGGACTTGTTCACAATTGAAAATCCTCCAGTTTCTTCAAATAAAAGCTAACTCTATTCTACCTCAACAATAAATCAATCTGCCTACACTTAGCAGCCTGTAACTAATGTACAAAACAGCCCTTGGTAAATGACTGACTTTCTTATCTCTTCTCAAAAGGCAGAGATGGATTCTGGTATGAACTACAGTAGATAAGATACTATATGCCACATATTCTTCTGACCAGAGATAAGAAAGCTCATTATAGAGCATTGATTTTTCTTACAATTTTTATTATCTTATACATGCACCCACACACTCTTTTTTTGCTTCACTTGCAAATGAATGTTTGGTTTCTGGAGAAACTTGGCATCTTATTCTATTTTTTGAATACTGGTAATGCAATACTTGCCTTCCTGGCTTTCAAACTGCCTACAACTGGAGTACTGCAGACTCGGCTGACCCAGGAACCAGACTACCAACACCACCACAGAGGGTTGATTCAATTCCAAAATATTCCATTACCAAGATAACAATTTGAAGACACCTAAATGCCAACCACCCCCACCCCCACCACCCACACACCTATCATTTTTCAAGACTTATACAGATTCGCCATCACCTTAATAAAGTACCACAAATTTACAGCATAGCATCCCTGATCCTATCTGCAGTTACTAAATTTACCTTCAAGTCTGTACATTAATAAAAACTAGGGCAAAAGCACAAACGTCATACTTTGAAAAGTTTGCACTGCAGCAAAGCACAGGGCTGGCTGACTGCAGCACAAACTTGCTCGGCGATGTTGCAGATTTTGAACAGCAACTGAATCACCTTCAAAATTCCCCGTCACTTTACGTCTTTTCACACATGGATGCTTTCAAGGTTCCATTTGCATTGGGGTCCAAAATGGAAAGCCATTGCTACTAAACTGTGCCAACAGTTTGAGCCCTGACCTGGAAGTAGATCAGAAACCCTGGCTGAAAGCCTCCAACACTCTGGCTTGACACTATTAACAATGATCATTTAATGAAATTAAAATCAACCTCTCAGATTTACAACCCGGTTAACAAGTTATAAACATAGGACAGCAAATTGTGATTACTGATTCTCCATCATCACTGAGTGGAAATAATTCAGCCTAATAGTTATTTCTGAGTGCTTTGGGTCAACACTATGGGACCAGGTTGTTTTTACATTTTCCTCCTTCTTCCCCTAAAACCATGGTCCAGTACAGTAGTTGCATAGGAGGGCACCTACAGTCCCAAAGCGAATTTACTGTATTTATCAAATTTGTGCAATTACTATCAGTTTTTACTACAGTCACTACACTGTACAGTAAAATCCTGTGAAACCCTTTGAGAGTTTGTTTCAATTTGAAATTCACTATATTAAATGCAAGGCTTATTATTAATAATGAGCATATAAAAAGTACTTTACATTTTAGCAGGAAACAGCGAACAATCTATAGTGTTTTCATTTGAACAGGTCACATAACCATGCTTACTCAACCAATATTCCCGCAGGATTCCTTCTGTACATTACTCCCTTTAAATGAAACAGCCCTAAAAGGGGCCAGTAAAGGTGCGGCAAACAAAACTAAATGTATATTGGATGCTAATGCATTCAAATTTGAATTACTCTTTACAGCACATCATAGCTAATCCAAATCCATTCAAGGCAGCTATTTCCATCCAAGTTCTTGGTCATTTGATATTAGTTTCACCACTTGGAAGTTTACGCTCCCCTTTTCAAATTTCCACCCTTTGCATTTTACCCACAAAATACTCAGTGAAATCACTTTACAAAATATTTGAGCGCTCCACGACACTGCCCCACGCGAAGGGCGCTGCATAATGCAAGTTGTCGTCGTACATTCTGTGAGATGCTTTGAGATGTCTCGAAGACACGATAACAATAAGAACAACAAAATTACATTTGTTAAAGCGCCTTTCGCGCCGGGAGGATGTCCCAAGGCGCTCTACAAAATGCAAGTACAGTATTATCATTCACAACCTACATGCATGATACATAATTTCAGCACAAAATAGTCACTATACTCGCACTTCACAGTGAAGCACTTCGAGATGCTTCGAAGACCTGCTAAGGCGCTATATCAAATGCAAGGATTATTATTATCATATACACACATATATATAGAGAGAGAAAACATATTCACGCACACACCACCCTTTAACCTCTGCGGGCAGACCGGGCAGAGCCTGACCCCGGAGCGCACCTGAATCTCTCCTGCCCCGCCGTGTCCCACAGCTGCAGTTTGATCCTTTTCCCCGGCTCGATCTCCACCAACCGGGCGAAGAAGTCCACGCCGACGGTGGGGTCCGAGACGTCGGTGAACCTGCCGTCGGTGAACCTGCGGAGGAGGCAGGACTTGCCCACCGTCGAGTCCCCGATCACGATCAGACGGAACTGATAAATCCAAATAGCTTCCATGACATAACTTTGCCCTCAGACACACACACCACACACACACACCTCCCCACCCCCTCCCCCTGCCCTCTCCCCTCAGGGATGGACCAGGTGGCACCGCCCCCCCACCCCACCCCCGGCCCAAAAAAAAAATATATATATATAAACCCCAGAAAGTCTTTTTAAATAATATCTCTTCTGTGTGGCAGATGTTTGTGGTACAGCAGAGCCTGGACTCACTTTGAGGGGGAGATTTTTTTTCACAGGCGTTGAAAAAAAAAAGCCCCTCCACCCCCAACACACACACACACACACACACACAGAGAGCGAGGGGCCTGGGGGGGGGTGGGGGGGGGGAGATGGCGGTTGGTGGGTGGTGGTGGTGGTGGGGGGAGGGGAGGGGGTGACTAACACCTGTCTGTCTCTCTGCTGAGAGCTGTGACTCAGTACCCAAACCCCGAGCTCCTCCACTGCTGCAAACTCAGCTCTGCGGCTCGTGCCGGAACAGCCCCGCCCCCGCCCCGCCCCGCGCACGTGATTGACAGCCACCGCGGCCCAATCACAATGCAGTCAGCCGACACCCGGCGGCCCGGCTCCACCACTAGGCGGCGGCGGGGGGCGGGACCTGCCGGCCGGAGGCGCCCATACGCCCACGCGCACCCCCTGGTCACAGGCTCAGATGCAAATCTGCTCATGAGAGTGGGCAGAGCAGTGGTACCATAATCATCATCATCATCACCATCATCACCACCACCATCACCCTCCTGATAATCTTTGCATTTGAGGTAGTGCCTTATCAGGGGCCGTCGAGACGTCTCAAACGCTTCCTGGGATGCGCTGTAAGGCGGGCGGACCCTTGCGTCTCGCGGGCGGAACGCGTCCGGCCAATTTGCAAATGGACGCGGAAAGGGATGCTCCGCGAGCGCGAGGCGACGGGGAAGTGCCGAGACGCAGCTTCAGGGACAAGTTCTCTCCTGAATATTTTTTTTTTTTTGAGTTCGGTTTACAGCCGCGCCGTGTGCGGGAGTGCAGCGACCGCGTGCCAGCGTGCCAGCACTCTCGCAGGTGGGTTGCTACGTTCAAAGAACAAGTAAACCCACCGCATGACACGCGAGCACCGCAAATTCCGGGTGTGCCGCGGCAGATCGGATCTGAGGATTTTTTTGCTTGCTACCCCACCTACGTTTATCCTCTCCCATTCGCTCCGGAAGGCATTTGACTCCTTTGTCCTTCTACCAGTATGGTTTCATAACTGTTCCATGCACTTTGGTCATTTGCCCAAGTGGATATTTTTCATACTTGGGTGTTGGCAGAGCATTTGACTAAGAAGGGAGAGGGAAATCAGAGCTGGGGCCTGATTCACGGCCACACTCACACCATCCAGCAGGAGTTGCAGAAAAACGAGCAAGAATGGAAACCTCATGCTATATGGAGATCAATTATACCACCCACTGTGTCACTCAGAACGGACGGGGAATGAAACCTAAATCCTTATACATCACCTACAAAATAATAATAATCCTTGCATTTGATGCAGTGCCTTATCACCCTGCTATCCTCCTGGGTGGTGGGGGTGGGGAGTTAAACAGGGTCTCCTTGGAGCTAAACTGGCTCGTAAGTTGACAAGTTTGGCAATGGAATGTCAGAATTGAGCCAACCTGCTGGTGTATTGGCAATCCAGTTCCTGAGCGAGGCAGGTCTGCAGTATTCCAGGGCACTGTTGATGACAGCCCAGGTTCATTGACAGGTCTTGGAAGGGCAGACCAGTCACTAGGGGAAGGGACGTTTCCCACACAGCTCCTGTTAACCCTGCAATCTAAAGCTCTCATGGGTAGAGTGGGTAATAGCCTAATGTGGTAGAAAGAAGCTGCTGAAAAGACTGTTTCTGATTTATTTTTGCTATGTTGGAGCTAGGAATTATAAAAATGTTTTCCCAGGGGACTGGGTGGTGCAATGAGGAAGCACATTGTGCTTTCAGCTGCAACTTGGGGTTGTGTCCAAATCAAACTGAGAGTCTTCTATCTCTTTCTAATTAGCTGCAAGGGTTTTACACAAAATATGCCTAGCTTGTGTGGACTCTCTAGTTATGAGACTCAAGCATAAAATTGGCACGTAATAGGCAATTTCACTTTGAAAGGCCACAATGATAATTGAGGTGGGAAATTGAAATGCAGCTCTGTTGGAGGTGGGGTGACCTTCTGAGCTTGAGGCACACTGTTCTGGTAAAGTAGCTGCTGAAGTACTTTATTCTGGTACAGCCTTTTCACTCTGCAGCGAGATTTACTAGGAGTACTTGATGCTAACATTGGGAAGTGTTAATATGCCTCATTGTGATGAGCACAGAAATTCACCGCAACAAAAGGTTTTTGCGTGTCTCTTTATTAGCGAGCTTGACATTTTTATTTTATTATTTTTTCCCACAGTTTTCTCTTTTCTCCAGAAGTGATTTCATTCCATTTTGACTTTGAGGTATGGTTCCATTGGTGTGTTGGATACAACAACAACAACAAAAAAATTACATTTGTAAAGCGCCTTTCACTTCGGGAGGACGTCCCAAGTGAAACCCTCCTAGTGCTTTGCCAAGTAGCCATTCTTCATGTGTGAGGTTTGATAATCAAGTGTTTGCAGTCTATAGGGTGATCCTAATTATAAGGCATCCCAGTTAATCGTCGGCCACTAATTGTTCGTGTATGCTGTTGACCTGTGGTATGTCATGAGGCCATGGACAGTTGGTTTCCAGTGCTGTCAAGCCAACTTTCGTATTAAAGAATTGTCACCTTCTGGGTCATCACGTTGTTGCTGACATCAGTTCCTGCAGGCTTTGCACAAGAGACAGTGCAGGACATGCCGCTGACTCCATGAACAACAACAACATTGACAATGGAATGTCAAATGGAATGTATAATGCCTTTCACGTTGGGAGGACGTCCCAAGGACCTGAAGGAAGTGAAGGAAGTGACATGAACAACGCTTCTTGCACATAGGGCACATACGCAGGTAATGGTCACCCTGAAGATGTGATCTCTTGTCTAAGCCAGTGACGGACTGGCTCCCCAAAAGGGCTTGTTATTGTCACGTAAAATAGGGGCACCGTTGTGGGGGGTTCCAATTTGTGAGGGCACTGATTCATGGGGTGGGCAAGGGGGACGCCATAAAGCATAAAGCATCTGCGGATTTAAAAACTTTGTCGGGCTTAAATTGAATTCTGAGCTAGGCTGTGGTTTTCCGTATACCCAGTCCGCCCCGGTTTGAATGCTCCGAGGCGCTACCCCACATGAAGGGCGCTAGATAAATGCAAGTTGTTTTCGTCCTGCCTTAGGATATCTGAAAATTGTTCTGGGTTTCTCAAGCCTATTTATTACCTTATTTAATATCCCTAGACATCACTTTTCAAGGCTGAACATCATCCACAACAAATTTACAAATATATATATATCTATATATTCAAGTTGGGAGGACGTCCTAAGGCCCTGAACACTCCAGGGTTTGCACTGAAGCTGGGGGTGGGAGCCCAGTGGGTGGTGGGGCCTGTGAGGGTGACCGTGGGGGGGCTGGTAGCACCGGGGTGGGGTTGAAGTCAAAAAGCAAGAGTTTTATCTTATTTACTTGTTCCTGATAGCTCCATTTTTTGACAGCCAGGTGTTAGACACAAGCAGAGTCCCATCACCCTTTTTAAGAGTACCCAAACCACATCTACACGTAAGCCACCTGTGCTTGGAAATTTGCCTTTGTCTGGAATGGAATGTGCATTCTCCCTGGAGAGATGCATCCTGTTTACCTAATTCCAGAAATTATTAGGTGCAGGTTAAGAAAAAACAACTGTGATTTTGAGTCTAACCAGCTAAAACTGCATACTTGCCATTGAGAACACTGTCTGGCTAGCTTCCTGCTGCTTGTCCAGCTTGGATCACCATAACCTTTGGAGCTTTAGCTTAACAGATGCCAAATGAGAAGAATCCCTGCTCACAGTGACTGATTTACTCTTCCAAGTTCTGCCAATCAACCAAGCTAACTGGGCTGTCATCAACAGGCCTGAGAAATACTGCAGACTTGGCTCAGGAAGTAGACTATGAGACTGTCACATAGAGTTGTCTTAATTCTGATATTCTATTGCTAGGTAGATCATCAGCCCCACATAGTTCAGCCCCAAGGAGACTCCACTTACCTCCCCCAAAGGCTTATTCCTCTATACACCAGAATAATCCTTGTTGCTCTGCCGCTAGGACTTGGATAATGGTCTCAGATCTTGTATACTTAACGATCATTTAAAGTAATCCAATGGAGAAGCAAATATTCTGCTCCTAGACTGTACCCATTGCATAAAAATGTAGTCTGCTGTCAAACAAACACAGATTTATGAATTTTCCATTTTTATTAAGGCTCCAGTTACAATCTGAAAGTTTGTTGTTTGACATTGACTGCAATGGTTTGTACATTTCAGAAAAAAATACAAAAAAGTTGGGCAAGCAAATTTATTAATAGTGAACTTCTTGAGTGACAATCCTGGACGTGAGACTTAGCAAGACATGGGAAACCGGTGGCTGCAGTGGTTTCGAGCCTCAAAGAAGTGCCACTTGGGAGCTCATTAAATGTGTGGTTTGGATCATTTCTATTTTCACTTGCCTCAAGACCCTCCTCTTCGATCGTGCCTTCAGTCATTGTCCTTCCTGTTCTCCAACCTCCCTGATCCAGACCCCTGGCTTGGGTCCGAAACACTGATTGTCCAGTACCTTGGGACGTCCTCTACGTGAAAGGCGCTATACAAATGTAACTGGATTTTGGTGTGATTGGCTACCAGGAGTCCAGAATGAGATAACAGTATTTTGATACATCTCTTTACACTGAGAGCTGATAAAAATGGCCATTGGTGACAAATTCTAGCGTGTATAAGGTTAATTGTCTTTGACTCAAGACCCTCCTCTTCGATCGTGCCTTCGGTCACCCTCCCACCTCTCTGCCTTCTCTCACCCCTACCCCACCCCTCCCCCATGCTCGGGTCCTGACCCCTGACTGTCCAGCACCTTGGGACGTCCTCCTAACGTAAAAGGCGCTCTATAAGTGTAATTTTGTTGTGGAGCCATCACATT